TTCGCGCGGGCTTGCATGAGGTCGATGTTGCGCTGGAGGCGGTCGTCGTCGATGACAACGGCAGGCGTCTCGATCCAGCTCGTCATGCTGGTGCTAGTGTTGGGGCTCGTCATGGGAAATCAGGATCTGACCGCAGTCCAAGCGACGATGGAGTGTACGTTGAACTTGGTGCCAAATTGCCATTTGGTTACCTGGAGCAATCACGTACCTTGACGAGAGCGTCGGACTGCACCGCGCATCGAGATCTGGTTGCCTCATCTTCTTGCATATCCCAGCTCTGCCTTTAGCGAGCTAGGATGATTCCGTGTCATGTTGCGCAACGTGTGTTCTTGGGTCACACACGCAACGTTGTTGAGCATTGTCCGCTTGGCACTCGATCATGTCTGCCTACTTTGGCGCGTCGGACGGAGTGGTGCAGACTTTACAACATTGCGATCTAAGCTTGGGCGCTAAACGCTACTCAGTATGGCAAAGGGCTCGGGTGTGGGTGTCGAAATATGACTGCTAGTATGTGCACCCTGCCATGCTCAGATCTCCTCCTCTGACAGGTTCGATGGATCCTGGTTGGTTAGCTTCTATCTCACCCAGTTGACAAAGCAAAGATTGATCGATGGTGGCTTCTTAGTAGTCTTCGACTTGGAGCGACGCAGCAGCCGACTGCTTGGCGCGGCGCGGTGGCGCCATGCCGCAGCCTTCGCACCACTCGGACGTCATCGCGTTGTGCAACGTGCAGCGCGGACAGGCCCACATGGGGATTTCACCTTCCTCAAGCCCGTCGTCCGATTCGGGAATGCACGACAGCGTCGACTTTGGCGGCGACCACCAGCCAGACGGCTCTTGTGCCGACGATGTTCGGGCTGGCGCAGGAGTCTCCGCCACATCATTTTCATCGCCGTCGTCGTCATCGTCGTCGTCATCTGGCGTCTGTGCGATGTCGGCGTCACCGTCGCTGTCGTCCGAGAGCACCTTGCGTGATTTTTTTGGCTGTGGTCGATCCGCTTGCCGCACAGCGGCCGCGTCTGGAAGCGACGTGAGGAATTGGACCTCGTCGTCGCTGCCGCTTTCCGTGCTGTCGCCTTTCTCATCGTCGTCGTCGTCATCATCGTCGACAATGACAACGTCATCCTCGCTAAGACTCGACTGGCGCTTGCGCTTGGATGTTGCGGGCACGTCCATGTCGAATTCGACCTCGTCGTCGTCTTCCGTGTCGCTCGACGCGGCAGCAAGTTTGGCGGCGGCTTTGAGCAAATTTTCTTCGTCGATCGCTTGCTTCTTTTCTCGATCGCGCTGCTCTTGGGCTTGAAAGAGGTCCCAGTCGACGCGGCAGCTAAAGACAAAGCTGACCTACATCCATAGATCAGATCCGAAATTATGTTTTGCGAGGCACTGTACGAGGTCCGAGCCGGCTTGGGCGGCGCGCATAATGTCGTCGGCGACGGTCTCGTACGAGTAGTGGTGGTTCCAGTTGTTCAAGTCTTCTTCGGCGGGCATGCTACACACGCATTTCGATCGTCAGCATTGGCAGGGTGTACGTACTCGATTTGCGGGCGCGTCAATAGCTTCTTGTTCTCTTCGAGGAGCAACTCGTCCGCGTTCGGGCACCGGCGGCACTTGAGTTGGTCGTGCGTGTCCGAGTCGGTGTGTTCCATAAAGACAAAGAGTTTCTACATCACGTTAGGCAATGCACAAGAAAGGAAGACAAATCCAACCTTGAGATCCTTGGTAGAGAGCGAGTTGACCTCTTCCTTGTCGTCGACGATGCTTTGGAGCCCTTCTTTGGAGAGCTGGCGCTGAAAGATCTTTTCCTCGAGCGTGCCTACGCTTGCGCATGAGGCGTAGCGTCTCGGAGACGTGCGTCTGACCCGTCGCGACGAAGCGGTAGATAAAGCACTGCTTCTTTTGCCCCTCGCGCCAAATACGCGCTGCCGCTTGCTTGTCCGTTGCGGGGTTCCAATCCGGGTCAAAGAGCACCAGACGGTTGGCGCCAATCAAATTCAAGCCGCAGCCGCCAGCTTTGCTCGAGAGAAGGAACGCAAACGAGTTGGTCTTGGGGTCATTGAAGACATCGACGAGCTTCTTGCGCTTCGAGGCGGATGTCGACCCGTCCAGGCGCACGGCAGGAAGACCGCGCTCCCGACAGAGCGCCGTGACGACATCCAGCGTCTATGAAATCTTTTTGGTTAGGAGGCGCAGACGCCAAGTCCGTACCTGGGTGTAGTTGGACACGATGACGATGCGATCGGTCGTCTTCTTACGCATCTCATGCATGAGCTTGTCGAGCACTTGAAACTAATGCAATCGACGTGTCATTTCTCATTTGAAACGATTGGGCAGTCGCGTACCTTGCCCGACCACTCGGGATGACACGACCGATGTCGATGGCTACGCAAAGCAACGTTGCATCACATGTGCTTTAGCAAAAAAACATGTTGTTGGTCCGTACTCGTCGGGCGGCAGGAACGCAGCACACTCTTCAAAACCAGGCGCGATCGTCGTCTTGCCGTTGCTCATGTCGATGATCAAATTTGGGTGATTGCAAAGCTTCTTGAGTGCTACGAGCGCGCAATGCGTCGAGCCCTCTGTGTTGACACAAAGCGTGTACCCGTGATGGACGGCAGAATGCGCGAGCTCTTCTTGGTCATCATCGCATGGAACGCATTCGAGTGCAAAAAATGCGAGTACATGTTGCGCTGCACGTGCGATAGGTTGCAGCACACCACTTGGGTAAGCTTGGGCGGCAAGTGCTTGGCGTTGAGCGCGTTCGTGCGGCGCAAGATGAACTGGTTGACGATCTCACACATTTCGCCCGAGCATCTGCACGAGGCCATAAGCACCGCAGTGGCCATCGTTGGTCACGTACCGTTGCGCCCATTCGCGCTCGCCTTGGGTGCAATCCGGCTCGCGGCCGACCAAGATCGGCCCCAGAAAGCGCCGACGAAACTCGCGCGGATCGCCAAGGACGTTGGGGTTGGTAAAGTCGACCATCGCGTAAAACTCTTCGAGATCGTTCTGCATCGGCGTCCCCGAGAGCAAAATACGGCGCTTGCACGGCAGGGCTACGCAGCGATAGTTTGCAAAGCGAGTTTCTAGAAGAGCACGAACTTGGTACCGTTGAGAGCTTGGTTGATCTGCGAGTTGGCATTCTTGAGCCGGTGCGCTTCGTCGCAAATGAGGAGCTCGCACGCTTGGGGCTCGTTGACAAACTTCTCGGCATGCATTCGGAACGTCTAGATCACGGTTGAAGCTCCTAAATGAGCGCGATATGGTGACATACCTCGTACGAGATGATGAGGACTTTGGCGGCCATGCTCTTGTTGGCTCGCTTGCTGCCGTTGATGAACGACATGATGCCACTAATGACGTTCTCGCGCCCAGATTCTAGTCATTGCTGCTAAGTTGAGAATGGTGGAGGAGGCGTCAAGCACCAAAGAGGGCAACGGTCTTGATGCGACCTTGCAGCCACTTGATGATCTCGTCATCCCAGTTCTTGACGAGCGACGTCGGGCACACGACAATCGCGCGGTTGATCGTCGGGATCGTCGGTCCTTGCATGCTCGTGCACAAGAGCGTGTACATGATCGTAATGCTCTAAAGCACGCATCTGCGGAACGCACTGCCGACAAGCCCATCATACCTGCAGCGTCTTCCCGAGACCCATGTCGTCGGCCAAGATGCAGCCATTGCCCTCAAAGCCGCGAATGCCCGAGACTACATACTGTCTATGAGAGTCAAAGAATCGCACCATGGGAACGCACCGCAGTCAAACATGAACTGGACGCCCTCGCGCTGATGCGGTCGGAGCCACTTGCCAATGACCATCGGGACAACGACCTGGACCTCTTGGTCGTCGACCATGCCGGTCCAGAGCACGACGGGCTCTGGTGGCTTCTCGTCGGCAGCCTTGGGCGCTTCGTCCACAGCCGCTGGCGCCGCGTCCAGGACGTCGTCCATGACCACGTCGACTTCGGGAAGCTTCTTGAACGGCGCGATGGGCATCGAACCGAAGCGGCGGCGCGACCCGAGGGTCTTGGTCGCGAGGAGTCGGTCGCTCTCGGACGTCCGGATGCTCTCGCAGGGCGACTTGAACGGCTTGTAGAGCGCTTCGAGGTCCCGCGCCGGGTTGACGAAGGAGAGGAAGGGCAGGTTCTTGATGACCATGCCCCCGGACTCGTACCCGTCGGGCTGCCGGCCATCTTGCTTCCCCGGCGGCTTGAACTGCGCCGGCCCCCGCGCCCGGGGCTTCATGCGTAGCATCGTCTTCGTGCTGCTTCGAGCCCGCGAAACCCAACCGTGGAGTTTCGCGCCGAAGTTCCGCCCCAACTTCGAACGTGAGTGTTGGTGGCCAATCGTGAGTGCGTGTCACCGCTTGGATCCAACATTGCCATGACAACCAACTACTCGAAGCGCCCGCATCGATGACATTGCTTTATCCGTGTCCATGTATTGTACGGCTCTGACGAAGTACATGCGTAGCACTTTGCTGCGAGATGCCTTGTCGCGGTGATGGCGGCGACCGTCGCGCGAGGTAGCGCCGGGCAAGGCCTTGGAGCTTGCAGGCCATCGCGTTCGCCCACAGCATGTCTGTCTCGTACGAGGCAAGGTGGACGCGGAGCTGCGCGATGCGCCGATCACAGCTGACGCAAACCGCGTGTAGGCGGTTCTCCTTGTGCGCCAGGTACCACACCTGGATCTGCCGGGCCGCGCGATGCTGTCGCCGTCGAATGAGAGCCTCGCTCGCCATCAAGGCGGCAAGCGTGAGGTTTCGCGCCTCAGCCTTGAGTACAATAGCGACCGCATGTCGCGTTGGCCGCGGCAGATGAGACTGAGCACGTGGCACCGGCTTGGACGAACGCCAGCGTCGGTAAGCGTGTTGAATCCAGCGTGCGGCGACGTTTTCTCGGACGCGGTAGAGTTTTACGGCCCCAAGAACATGGCGAAGCGCAGCAATACGCTGCCAACAACGAGCCGCAGTCCACGGCGTCGCGGTTTGCTTGAACGAGCGGTGTACAGAGCAGCTGACTGCGCGAGGCGACCTTGGTCGAAGGGCTTCAACGCCACGCTCCAAGGCGAGACACCATACAGTTGGTGCGGGCTCGGGTTCACGACAGGCATCGACTTCGTGCGCATCAATCGCGTAGAGGGGCGAAGGCGCGCCATAGTTGGCACCACACGTAGCGAGTTCTTTGGCCAAGATACCTGTAGGCCGTGGCGCTGCCGCCTCCATTCGCCTGGTCTAGCGCGAGCTAAAAATAATCGAATTGCAGAAAAGAAAGGCGACATGAGGAGAGTCGCTATTGTCTCCTTGTAGCTAGTTGGGATCGACGTGTGGCTCGGCCATCGGTGTGTCTGGGCGAGATGTCTGGACGAGGAAGACGTCGGCGTCCACGTCCGGGGACGAGAGGCAGTGCACGGTCTTGCGCAAGAGCACGTGGCGTTGCTGTGGTACCGGCGTGTACTCGTAGATGGCGCCTTGCTGGTACTTGGCTGCTAACGCTAGCACAGCCTCTCGGGTCGAGGCCACCGCGCCGGTATCTTCGACGGGGCAGGCGACCACGAAACCGGGCTCACGCCAGTTCTCTGAGAAGCCAAAGAAAGGCGCGACCCAGAAGCCAGGCGCCAAAGGCAGCGACCGAATGTCGGTGATCAGCGCCTTGTGCGTGCGGTCGTTGTCGTCGTCCGACGCGCGAAGGCCCATGGGGTTCCACGCCATGATGGCAAAGAGGTGCGAGGCCAAGACCGAATCCGGGTACTCCATGGCGCCTTCGCTGGGCGCACCTGGGCGGTTGTAGATGACGCCAGCATGGCCAGGTACGCCCATCCACGCATCGTAGGACGCCGCCCATGCAGCATGCAGTGCGCTTTCCATTGTTCGTCGCTGGATTCGAAAATGCTGTCGTTCGTCGCACCCATCCGAGACCAGCCGGCGGATTGGCGTTGCCAACGACGCTGCCCTCACTGGTATACCATGCTACCGTGCTGCTAGGGCGGTGCTAGGATGACTCTAGGATGTTCCTTTACATCATCGCAGGCGCATGTGAGACCGCAGGAAGAGCGTCAGCGCCGGCTTTGTCGCGGCCGCGAGTTGCGTGCATCAAGCCGTGGGCCGAAACGTCATTATTCCCTCGATACAAGCACGCGGGGTATCCGGATAGCTTGTGTGGTGGTTTGGATCAATATACAACTTTGTATAGCGCCGACACGTCGCAACGAAGGAGGCGTCATGAGCGTCCTGGACCCGTCGAAGGACAAGCTGGCCTACTTCAAGGACAACATACAGACGGCAGAGGACCAGGTTCGCCTGCCGCCATGGGGCGGGGCTCATGCGCCTCCTCTGCGTAGGAAGAGTTTGATGCGAGCCAATACTACTACAACCGGCAGGACGGGTTCTTCAAGCAGAGCCCAGGCATGGGAGGTACGCCTCGGAAACGCAAGCGGCGCAAACTCAGTCATGCAATAGGTGACCCGAGCCAAGTGGGCTTGCAGATGGGTATGCAGCCGGGCGTCTACCCTGGCTACAGCAGCGGCGCGGCCCAGCCGCAAATGGCGTCGGTACACCCTTCTTTCACCCTCCATGGCGCGAGCGTGGGCGTTGACGACAGCGTAGTTTCTAGCGGCGACGTCGACGGGCATCGGTATGGGCTCCATGGGCATGGCCGGTATGGGCATGGGCGGCATGGCTGGCATGGGCATGGGCAGCGCCGTAAGAAGCGTACCACCGACGACGCCGACATCGTCGGGTTTGATGGACACCTACCTGACATCGCGCATCGCCGAGCCGGCTGCGACCCCCATCACGATGGCCACCAAAGGTACACTGCCCATGTCACCTACGATCCGATGCATGACGTGGCTGCCTCTAGTGCGGACCTTCGAAAAGACACCCGACATGTCGGAGTTTCCGGCTCTGACGGCGCGGTAGGTCGCGCTGCGTGCATTGCGTCCTCAACCTCCTGCGTAGGAGTAGCTCGGTCGATGAAAATTCGCCCGCGTTCCGGCAAAATTCGGAATTTGTGATCCAAAAAGAGGACTTTCCGGCTCTCTCGTCGTTTGGCGCCGAGGGCCGACCGACCGAGAAGGCGGCGAACCAAGGCATGTCGTCGTCCAACGACGCGATGCTGCAGCGCACGAGCCAGCCGTCGACAAGCAGCACGTCGTCGATTGGGTCGCGCTCCGGCACGCACGTGAACGCGACCTTTGCCAACGTCGGTGGGTTCCAATCGGCCACCAATCTCGCGGTCAACTCGTTCCCGCCGCTGCATGCGAACGACGCCAAGCCGCATCCGTCGTCGCGGCCGACGTCGTCGTCGGAAGAAACCTCGCGCTTTGGCCTCCTCGGGATGCTGCACGTCATACGCTCGACCGACCCGGAGCGCAACGTCGCGCAGGGCTGTGACCTCACGTCGCTGGGGCTCAACCTCAACTCGGCCGAGTACGCCTCATCGTTCTGTCGCATCTAATGGGTGCGTAGACCGCTGCATCCAACGTTTGCCTCGCCGTGGTCCGACACGCCGTGTACAAAGGAGCCGCAGTACACGCTGCCACTGTGCTACTACAACCAGCCGCCCGTGCTCAAGACGTCGCACCTCTCCAAGTTTCAACTCGAGACGCTCTTCTACGTCTTTTACTCGATGCCCAAGGACGTTGTGCAAGCGTACGCGGCCCAAGAGCTCTACCTGCGCGAGTGGCGCTACCACATGGACCTCAAGCTCTGGTTCAAGCGACAGCAGAGCGAGGCGCTGCAGTACATATACTTTGACATCAACACGTGGGAGCGACGTCTCTTTGGCGGCAACCCGAACGCGGTCAGCGCCGGCTTTATGACGGACGACGACGTCCGAGTCAAGTTTACCCCGACGCCGTAGGCTAGAATCTGACGCGTAGCTCCTTGAAGACATTAGACGAACGCTGTTTAGTAATGCGACGATGACGTGTTCAACGACCGTAGAAGCTGCTCCTTCTCAACCCACACCGCGCGCTCGGTTGCATACGCCTTGTCCATCATCTAGCCAGCCGTCATGCTACCATCTCTGTGAAGCCAGGGGTCGTACCCGCATTTCGAAGCGCACGTCGGCGAGGTCGGTCTCGAGGGCGGCCACAGTGACCTACTCACGACTCATTCTTCTTGCATTCGGCGCGTTCACGTACAAGGAGCGCGGCCTTGGCAGTCGACTCGGCTTCGAGTTGCACCTTGAGCTGCCCTACGTGGCGCTGCAACCAACGACATAGATATACATTTCGGATGAGGAAAGCGAGGCGCGTACGTCTTTGGCCGCGACCTTGAGGTTGTGCTTGGCGTGCAGCTGCTGCTTTTGTTGATTGGCGAGCGCCTCGCTCGCTTTGAGGCGCTTCTTGAGCTCCCTACGAGGCCGCCATCATTGTATGATATGGAATGTGTGGGAGCGTACGCATTTTCGCGCTGGAGCTGGCTCACAACGAGCTGCATTTCAGCGCGGACGCGCGTGACGTCGATCTGCGAGTACGCCCTCTCGACGACCGTCTTGCCTGGTGCGCCGTTTGGTCGACGGCCTGGCACGAGCCGCGCACCGGCGCTGCGAGGAGCCAACTCGTCACACTGCTCGATCGACTCCTATGGAATAGGATACATATAAAGCGCGAGCAGAAGTACATGGGCTACAGGTGACGACGTGGATGAGCCAGTGTGTGCTGGGTCGTCGTTGTCGGCAAGGGCATAAAAGTCGAGGTCGTTGATCTCGCCGAGCGACGGCGGACCCCGGGGCGCAGACTCGGTCGGCAGCTCGAGGCCCACAAGCTTGAGCGCAAATGCCTCCGTCTCGGCCTCCAGCCAAAGCGCGTCGAGCGGCTGCGGCTCCAAGGACCGCCGGTACATGGTTCGTCGCCCTTTCCCGCAACGGTTTTGACGTTGGCGTAACCCCCATCTTGGTCTTAGCGGGTGTACCGCCATGATGCTGCTAGCGCGCTGCCACGTCACCGTCCCCCACACCACTCACTTTTGAATTTTCAATCGACTGCAACAAATCAACTCCAACTCGAACGACTCATGCACCTGCGCTACCTGCTTCTCCTCTCGGGTGCGACGTTTGGCCTCGCCTGCTCCAGTCTCGGCGATGCGTCGAGCCCCATGAACCACACGCTGTCTCAGCTACCGTTCATGAACGCGACATCGCTCGGGCTCTCTACAAGCTACGCCACGTGCATCGGGTCCACCGACATCAAGGCGCTCTCGAGCGGGCTGCTTGGCGCCGCGACGGCCGAGCCCGCATGTCTACGTGCGATCTCCGACCTCATGCCGCTCTTCTCGGATTGGTCGTCGGCTCCATCGCACCCGAAACCGAGCCGATTCACCAACAACACATTGTCCCATGACAGCTTCAGCGACAAGAACGAGAGTAGCCGCCGCGACGATACCATTCACCATCATCCAATGGTTGACGCGCTCAACTTTACAAACGCCAAGGCGCAGACGCTCTGCGCAATGCTCGTCAACGTCGTCCCGTGCCTCGAAAAAGCCATCATGCCCTTCGTGCTCCAGACGATCAACGCCGGCGGCTGCTGCACGGCTGCACTCAATGACGTGGCAGCGCAGTTTGGCGCGTCAGCCGACGTCGTCGTTGCGACGCTCGTGCGGGATCTGACCAACGTATTTTGCTCGACGCAGTCGCCCGGTTTCTTTAGCCAAGGCAACCAGACGTGCGCCTACTCCTTTGCTCAGAGCGCGCTGCATGCAGCGGCGCCTCTCCATCGCCTTTTCAAGGCGGGCGTGCAATTACCGACGAACGAGGCGTGCAGCGCGCTTGTCGCCAACGATGTGTTCCAGCTGACGCAGTCGCGTGCGATGACGCCTCTCTTCACAGCGCCGTACGTGCCTTCGACGTGCGTACAGCCGATCGATGCGCTCCTTAGCGGAGTCGCGCGCTGGCCTTGGATCCAAACCTCGAGCATGTGGTCGAAGGTGCTTGGCGCCGGTAGCTGCCTTCCCAACCCCGCAAACGCGTCCGAGTGCTTCCATCTCCCGAGCGGGTTTGCGAGCACGTGCACGTACACGACGAAGCTAGAGTTCTTCACGGAGGCGTTGGGGCCGATGACGACGATGGCTCCGATGACGCCCGCGCCGACGAACGCGACCAAGACCGCGGTGCAGCAGGGTTCGTCGTCCGGCGGAAAGACGGTGTCGTCCGTCGCGCTCATCATTCTCTCGATTCTCTACTACTACGTTTAAACTCGAATTGCATATGTACTTATATAAGGTTTGATGCGTTGCAGGGGATAAGCAGTGATTTTCAGGCGATGAGAACTGATATTGACACTTTGGTTTTCACGATCCAAAGCGATACTCGCGTGCTGATTGGCCAAACGTGGACCTATCGCAGGCGCGGATTGCGTATCTTTTCTTGGGCGTGACTCGCTCGACCGAAACTAGACGACCAGAACACACTCTTCGGCAGAGCAGAATGGTAAGAGATGGAAAGCTCTCAACGCGTTGGTGCAGGTGGCTCTGGTTGCCTGCGAACTACTAGTCCGAGCACCCACCTGGTCATATCGACGCAGCGACCGCTCCGCTATGCGCACGGCGTCGCTCGGTGATGAGCATCGGACTTGCACAAGTGCATGCATCCGCAACTCGCTTTCGACTGCACACCCAAGGTGTTGGGTGAGGACCTTGGGACTAGACCAACGCGGTCGAGAAGCAGTCGTATGAGTCCACGTGAAGTCGCTTGACAAGATGTTGCCTTCAACGCCATCGGACCCAATCGGTTGCCACGACCGCTGCCGGCTCGGCGACCCGCCAATGCGATTGGTCGGCAGTTGACCTATCGCGTGCGCGGATCGCGTATCCATGTCAAATTTGGGAGCGATCTTGGAGGTAGATGGGAACGATTGCCATGGAGACAGACTTGGCGGAAGTAAGGGAAGTCACTATATTGTTGAGAGTTTAACTAAATAATATCCACCTCCAAAACATAGCACGCGGAATCAAGGCGCGCTCGATAGATATGCAGCAACACGAAGGCACTTTAGCAGAACGGATAGGACGGCGCAACGTTTACTCGTCGTCGTCTTCCTCTTCTTCTTCTTCTTCCTCGACTTCCTCGACTTCCTCGACTTCTTCGACTTCATCCTCCTCTTCCTCGTCGTCGTGGGCCGTGAGCGACAGCTTGTACGCCGCCATCTTCTCACCGTACTTTTCCTTGGCCTCGGCGGCCAGCTTGTTGTACTTGGTACGCTTCTTCTCAGGGAGCGCGCGCCACATCTCGGCCAGCAAGCTCGCAATCTCAGTGATCTTCTTTCCCGGGTGCTGCTCGCGCGTCGCGGGACGGTGCTCGTCGCAAAAGTAAAAGTACGCCGAGAGCGCGCGCTTGGGCGCGTTCGGGTCCTTCTTTTTCCGCGTGCCCTTGACCTTGCCGCCCTGGTTCTCGTACGCCGGGTCCGGGAGGTAGTCTTCCTTCTCGCGGAGGTAGCGCGCCTTGTCGTCCTCGGCCTTGGCCGTGAACTTCTTCTTGTCGTTGTCGGTCAAAGCTGCCCACCGGCGGCCAATCTCAGACGAGATTTGGAGGAACGTAAGCTCGGGCATCTCTTCCTTGACGATCTCGCGGATGTACGACGAGAAGAACATGAAGGCCGTGAGCGCGCGCTTCGGGGCGTTCGGGTCCTTCTTCTTGCGGGGCTTACGCGTGCTTGTGGAGGCGGCGACGGCCGAGGCCTTGGCCTTGCTCGACTCCTTCCGGGGCTTGGCGGCAGCTGCACGACCCATGGCTTCTGCTGTGCTGTGGGTCTGGATTTGGAAAATGACCTCCGAGCTTGAAGGCTCCACATACAAACACCAAGTCAAATTGAACTGCGGTTTGAATGTCGAGCTTGAAACAGCCCAAGCTTCAAAAACAGGCCTCCATACAAAGATCAAGAGAGAGGATTGGAGCTTCTTCAAGCCGGGCGGCGTTGCGCCAATCAGATGCGACGCTGGCGTGCGTGATGGCCTCTCATTGGTGGAATACGGTCGCAAAAGGAAGTGAGCTTGAGAGGTATGGGGAAAAAAACGATCGAACTCGCCACTTTAAGCTCGGGCATACAAAAACCAAGGTCTTTGGGCTCGAACGAGTGCGCTTGCTACAGGGATAGGTGTCGACCTGAAGAACGTCGCGCCGAGCTTTTGAAATTCCTGCGCCTTTGTATTGTATTGACCGCCAATTGAATTTAAATGATAGCAACTTGGTACCAAGACATAGGCGGCGCTAATAAAATAGGACACGGTTAGCATTGAATACACCGCGCATGTATTTTTATTTCGGCCGATTCAATCTTTTTTTAAATTATGTGTAACACCGTGCGTCACAGCGCTATTTTTATTGCTCGCGTATTAAAATAAACCTCGCGTGATTGGACCGTTGCAACTTCAATGTTGCGGCGACAACACCGACTAACTAACTAAGACCCAAACCAGAACTGAGATGCACTGCATCTCGTCGGTGATGCACCTCCCTTTGGCACCTCGTGATGTGATGAACAATGTACAACTACGAGCTGGTATTCATATTTACTACGAGTCTTGCCGCATCGACTGAATGAGTTTGCCCCAGTTGAGGAACCAGAGCTCTTCCTCCGTCAAGAGCGTTGTATAGTGCTTGGTCCATGCGTCGATGGCAGCCTCGCAGTAGGCGTGGTACGCGCTGTACGTGCTGTCGCGGCCGACGACGGCGGCGCGGTGGGCGTCCGTCAAGTACGCGACCATCGCACCATTGCCATCGACGCCTTCCTTTGTAAACACTTTGCCTTTCGTGTCGTCCTGAACCGCAGGCGGCATCTCGAACACCGAGACAACTGGCAGGCCGGGCCACGCCCGCTTTGGGAAGCGTTGTGTCTCCTTGGCCGCGTCGAGGACCTTGCGCTCGTCGATTGAGAGCGCGGCCGCGAGCGGATCGCCATGTTCGACTTTGCGCAGTGCTTTTCGCAGCCGCTTGAGCGACTTGCGCTTCTTCTCTTCTTCGTCGCCGTCCTCGTCTTTTGCGAGGTCGTCGGGCATGACGCACGAGTCGAGGATCTCCATGAGCGACCCAAACGCAGCCAAGAGTCGCTTGTGGAAGACGCGTGCGTTCCCAATATGCTCTTCCAGAACGCTCCAGCGCACGCTGCGGATTGCGGCTTGGACCTCGAGCGTTCGTGCTGCCTCTTTGGCACAGAGCGCCTCGACAGCCGACACGCGGTTGGGGCTGCACAGGTCGGGCGTCAGCGCGCTCTTGTGCCTCTGCTTTTGCGCCTCCCACTCGGCGTGCTGGGCCTCGAAGGCCGCCACGAGGCCATGGACCTTGGCCTCAACGGTAGCTTTGGCGCGCACGACAATGTTGTCAAGCGCGACGGCCGGCGCCACCGCGAGCACGCCCGCGAACGCTTTCACTTGGGCTTTGAACGCCTTGATCTGCGTGTGGACGTAGGCTGCCGCCTTGCTTTTTTGGTCCGCGAGGTACTCTTTGAGTGTGTCGGGTACCCCGTCGGGCGGAAGCTCCATCGCTTTGCCTTCGGCCTGGAAGAGACTCTTGGTGTCGGCAATGCACTGCGCCTCAAACTGCACGGTCCACTCCATAAAGGTCCTGATGTCGGCAACAGCTTCGTGGGGGACGTCGGCGTCGTACTTGGTCGTCGCCTCGAGATCGTCGGGTACTTTGCGCGGCGCGACTTGCACCTTGTTTTTGAGCACGCCGAGGTAAAGGCTGCGCGTGTACATAATGTGGCGGAGCTCGAGCACGACCGACCGGATTTGCCGTACAAAGTTGCTCGGCACTTTGGGTCCTGTCGTGGAAGAACGATACGAGAGGTGGTGCTATATCGCCTAGGTACCGTTGAGCGCGCACTCTCGGGACGTGGTCATCACAGTGAGCGTCGATAGAAGGCTGTCGATCGAGTGCGCCATCTCGTCGGACCGGCTCATCTCGGAGCGCAGACGCTCTTGGGCGTTGCGGCGCGGCATGCCGTACTTTTGGCCCAGCCCTTCCTTGATGGAGAGGTTCTGGATGCAGGTCTGGTACCGCGTCTTGAACGTCGCCTACAATCCCGCCGCTCAGATCTGATTTGACAAGATTGTGAGTACGAGGAGCGATAAGATGCCTTGTTCGAGGCCCTCGAGCGCCTCGATCATCTCGCGCCGATGGGCGACGGCTTTTTGAATCGTCGCTTCGGTCTCGCCCACGAGGCTCTGGACGTACTTGACCTCATCGGGGTGGTAGTCGCAACCAGAAATGACCTCGACCGAGTTCAAATCGGGGAAAATGTGATGCGAACACGTCGTGACAAGCTCGCGACACATGGCCGCGAGCGCCGCGGGCTCGTCGGTCAGGTAGACCCGCATCTTGGTGCTGAGCAGGTCGGCCCACGCGCTCTTAAACTCGACGTACGTCGTCTTGGACCGACTCTCGAGACCTTGTAGCGCGGCGAGACTAGTTTGCATGAGCAGCTGCGCTTGCAGACCGAGCAAAGCATTCTCTTGGTCGCGCACGCACGCAAGCGCGGATGCGTGCAGCTCCAGAAAGGCCGTCTCTTGCACGGATAGCTTTTTGAGGATGTTTTTGATGTGCCGCCCGTGGCGCTGCCGGTGACTCACGAGCTCGCCGGCGCGCGGCTGGTAGATCTGAACGTCCGTGCGGCCTTTGCGCGGCCAGTGCATGCGCAGGCACTCTTCGAGGAGGAACGCGTACTCTTCAACGTGCGTCTCGGCGTCACGGTTGGCACTCTTGACATGGAGTTTGCTCTTGGACTCGAACGCCGCGAGCATCGCATTTCGGAGTCGGTCGAGGAGGCTCAAGAGGTGTGGCTTGGGGATTGTCAAGATGACAATCACGTCGCGTAGGGCCGGCACATTGGCCAGCGCCGGCGCCGCGAGCTCGGACGAGTGGTCGTCTACTTACACGTAACACACGGTGCGCGCATCAGAAGCGTACCGTGAACTGTCGCAGTGTCGTTTGTGCTCACGACATCGGGCGCCGCGTCCACGTCGTCGTCCGACGGCTCTTCGCCCGGCAGCAGAATCTTGTGCACCAAAATGTACTCCAAGAGCTCATCCGACGAGCACACGCGCGCCTCTTTCTTGGGTTTGACGGCGGGCGTCGCAGGCTTGGCTGGTACCGAGACGGTGGCGCCCGTACCTGCTTCCATGGCTGGCTCGACCACCGCGCGTCCTGGCGTCACCAGCTCCTTCTTGCCGTTGCGCGGTGTTGGGCCTGGCGTGACCTCGACCGCGGGTGCTGGAGGCTCCGGCTCCATCACAGCGATTACCGGCGCGGGGTCGTTGATCGCGCGCTCGATGCACTCGGCACTCACGAGCGCATCAATGTCCGTCTCGTCGTCGTGCGTGTTGGACTCGACGCCAAAATGACCGCTGAGCATGTTGCGGTACAGCGCGGCTTGGCGCGTAATCGCGATCGGGTGGTTGGTCGACGCCAGCGTCACCTACTCGCCGCCTTTGCCATGGACTCTACTATCCCTCCAAGTACCTTTTTGTTGTACTTGCGGTACTCGTCTTCGATGCGCTCCAAGAGGCTGAGACAGTTGACAAACTCGGCTTCGAGCGCGGCCTCGTCCGGCGCATGGCGCAAGGCCGACCGGCGCGAGCTAAACGCGTCCTCGAGCGCCGCAATGTTCTCTTCGTGCGTGTCTTTGAGCGTGTCGAGGAGGTCGAGCACTGTCAAGTTGACGACGCGCGTCCGCTCCTCGTACGCCTCGAGACACGCCACGACCATGTGCACGAAGCGCGTCACGCGGTCGCAAGCGAGATGCAGCGTCGTCGTCTGCGCCTCGAGGCCCGCGCCAACGAGCGTCAAGAGCGCTTTCATTTCGGCTTCGCGGAGGGCAATGAGACCGTCGCATTCGGTCGCAACGATGGCGTCAACGACGTCGTTGGCGTGTCCCTGCACCCGGAGAGCATCGAGGATGATGGAGAGGAGGGATTTGATGCTGGTGGGGAGATCGGACGCATACACGAGCGTGCCGAGCCGGCGCTGCGCCTTGCGAATCCCCTGAATGTCGTTGATCTGGAAGGCGTCAAGCCCAATGCTTTTGGATTTGGAGGCGGCCGAGCCTGGCGGGTCGGACGACGACGAGGATGTGGTCGATGCGTGGGCGTGCTCGCTGCTGGCATTGTCGTGCATGAGGCCGTCGAGGCGCTTGGCGATTTCCTCGAGCTCCGACTGCAGCATCGGGTGGAGCCCTTGGATCGTCGCGAGGCTCACGGTTTGCGCGTGCAAGAGCGGGAGGATGCCGAGGATTTCATTTTTCGGCGCTTTGCGGAGCCGCTCGAGCGTGCCTTGCAGCGTCTTGCGCTCGTTGCTTTTGCCTTGGGCGTCCAAAATGCTCTCGAGTGGGAGTGCATGCACGAGGAGGCCGACCCGTGGCTCGAGCGAGATGACGTTGGCTTGGTAGATCATCTCGGGGGACGCCAAGCGCTCTTCAATTGACGCTAACTCGCTGCGGAGTCCCCCCGCGATGCGGAAGAAATCGTCGAACTCCTTGTTCCCAAGAAACGCTGCGAGCTGCGCCGCGTGTTGGCCGAGGCAGCCTTCGTCGGCCTTGGCGCCGACGCGGTGGCACGTCGCGCGAAGCTGCTCCCGAAGACCGACGGCGTCGGCAACGATGGACGCTTGGCAGCGGAAGAGCATCTCAAAGTACGTCGCATTGCGCTCCTCCTCCTTCTTGTACATCTCGGCAAAGGAAACGACAAGCTTCTGGATCGCGTCGGACGGGAGCGTCGCGCCGCGTTCGCCGAGCTGCTTGAGCACGACGAGCCGCTCGGTCTCGTGCACGCGTTGCTGGGCGTCGCGCAACTGGCTCAAAGTCGCATGCAGCGACGGCGGGGCCATGTACAAGGGCGACGACAGCGTCTCTTGGAAAACCTCGATCGCGTGGTCGTGGTTGAGCGCGCGCCAGTTGCGCTCGCAGGCCTCCCACGCGGTGCGGACGTCGACGAATTTGTGCACGTCTTCCTTGAGCATGCGGCTGAGGAGGTGCGAGTGCGACCGCCGATTCGTAATCAATACGACGTTGAGTTCGTGCGCCTCGACTTCGATGAGCCGTTCGACTTCGGGCGGCAGCACGTACGCGGCTGCGACGCAGGTTTCCGTGAGCGTGCGTAGCTCGGCGCCAACGAGCTCGGACCGCGACTGCTCGATGGCTTCGAGCGACTCGCCAAAGGCCACGATCGTGAGCGTCCGTTGGATCCAGAGCTGTTCGAGCGCCCGCCACGCATCATTCACAAGGTCGTGGGAGGCGGCAATGAGCCAAGGCTTGCTTCGGAGCCGGCCAAAATGCTCGTCCGTCGTCGTCTTGACGAGAAGGAGGTCGTCCTTGATGGTGTCGCTAATGCGGAGGATGTCGCCTTCGAGCTGCTCGCTAATGGTCTTGAGCTGGACCTGGTAGAGTGATTGCGCGGCCGTGTGGCGTTCGCGCCGTCGCATCGCGTTGGCCTGGATCTTGTCGTTCTTCTTCTCTGTCGGCGCCTCCGACGTCGTGTTGCGCTGGTGCTGGAGCTCGCGGACTTCGGTGACCATGTCCTCGTCGGTCACACCACGGTGCTCAATCCGGTATGAGCGCATGTCGGCATCGGAGATATTGAGTGTTTTCAGCGTCTTGGATGAGTCCTTCTTGTGGTACTCGCGCGGCTTGTGCAGCGACGTCAAGAGCGCTTGCTCGGCCGTGAACTTGGGGTCCATTCTTACGCCAATAGCCGTCGCATGCGACCGTTCACAATGCAATCTCAATCTCAAGTTTGGCGAAACGCTTGCAAAAGGTAGATAACTTCGATAGCTCACTCTATTATCTCTATGCTTCGATCCACCACGACGAGAGACCGAGCCCGTCTTCGTCGATCGTGCCCTAGACAGAGCGTGTCATCGCTGGTCAACAAGGAAGCACGCACGATGATCTGCATGGCCGACGGCTTGGGGTCGTGCTCGGACAAGTCGACGCTCGACGACCGGCGGCGCGACGACGCACTGTCGGCGGCCTCCGTGACCGTCGCCTGAATGCCTGTGCATGGTCATGAGGCGTGTTAGTCGATGCCACTCGTAGTACCCTTGGCGGTCTTGGTCACGCGTGTAAAGTTGATGTTGGTGACGCGAAAGCGAATCTCTTCGTGGAGGTACATGTAGTACGGGTCTTGCTCGTCTACACGGAGCAGATGAGCTACGCTCGTCCCTGCGTGAGCGACCTTCTTTGCCCGGAAACTTCCATTCCCAGAGCCGCTCGTTCTTGTCGCTACACATCGTCGTCGTCAGCGCCTGCAGTCTCGCGCCAGATGTACGCACAAGAAGGACGGTGTCTGCATCGCGTAGGACGGAATGATTATGTCTTGGACAAAGTCCATCGAGACTAGGCGCCACGATAAGAAGCCATGGTGATGATGCCCAATGAGCGTACCGCGAATGTGCTCCTCGGTGCAGCTAATGATCTTGCCCTTCAAGACTTCGCCGATGAACGGCTGGAAGACGACCATGCGGAAGACGACTACGAGGCCATGAAGCTAGCATGCGCCACGGTCATTGTGGTCTCTACCTTCGGTGTGCGACGTGCCATCCGACGGGTGGATGTAGGCGTCGCCGATCTCGATGAAGTCGTAGAGCGTGATGCAGAGGCCGACGTCCGCGATGACCTTGTTGGCGTACTTGCGGTCGATCTCTTCCGTGAGCACGCTCGAGTAGTCCGTCCCGAAGAGCTCGGGCGCGATCTGGATGACGTCGGCGATCCGGCACAAGACAAACATCGCGCGGCCAAAGTTTTTTTTCGTTTTATTGGTGGATATTCTGATGCCTCCGAGAATACATATTTGAGCGAAATCAATGGACGCACGCACCTCTCATATTCGATATACCGCCATCGACGATTGGTGGAAACGAAACGGCGCGATCTTTACATGGTGGAGTTCCGCCACCATCGAGTTGCTCGATCGTGGCTATCGAGCACACGATCGTGAATCGGCCCAGCAGGCATACAGTGCACTCGGTTACGGAGAGTCCTTGCGTAGGTTGTAAGAAGACTGCCCTTGTTTGGTCACAAGCGGACGTTTTCGCTTTGATGCTGAGGGCAATAAGTTTAAGCAGCTGCAATAAGACCGATGCTCATGGATGGAGTCCATGTCCTTGCTGACAAAGTCGTTGGTTGTGGGACATTTCTTGGATGTCTCGAGGCGTTGTCAATGACAACCGGGTATGAGCTCGAGCTCTGCTTGGCATCAGCACGGGCAAATGCATCGTTCATGACTGAGGTTGAAGCTGCCTTGGTTTTTTGGGAGATCGATGATCACATGTGTTCCGCGTCTCCATGGCACGTTGGGTCGACGGTAGCCATTCTTCAGCATCACGGCATGGGTGAACGCGTCTTTTGCGTCTCCGGAAGTCTTCTGGGACCGACGCTTGATAACGTGCCATCACCTACTCTTGACGCTAGCACCCCACAAGCACAGCTTTCACGTCGCGAAACGCTTCATCATGTTGGGCTGATTCCTCTCACCTGGACCAAAATAGAGAAATGCATAGACAAAAACGCCAGCGGTTTTGCGATACCGGTAGCAAGGGTTTATGAAATGACCAATTGACTGTTGTCGGTCGGTCGCTATGAGATCTGACGATTCCGACGAGCCAGGTGCCTCAAGTGGGTGCGAGATCGCACGTCGGACAATCAGATTTTGGAGCGGAGTGTGCCGTGTTGGCTTGGCGAGATGTGCTCCGGAATGCAACACACTGTACTTTCAGCTCTGCCATGATCAATCGCCAGGGGGTAAATGTACTTGACAATAGCGACGTCGGCAGCCAAGTCCTCGACCTGGAAGCCCCTTATGACTGCATCGTGGACCAGGCGTCGAAACGGCATGTGTTCCACGTGGGTATGTATCGCTTCAACACTTCAAAGCTTCTCGATCGCGTCCCTTTGTGCCCCTTGGCAAAGACGGGGTAGGGCTCCCGCCGTTCCCCAGCTTTGAATGGCCGAGAGCCTGCCACGCCACGCGTGTCGTCGATTACAAATTGGTGTGCACCCACTGCAATGCGGTGCATTTCCCACGGAAAGCCCGTTGGCTACCGCGTTGGCACCTCTCGTAGCCTGTCTTGCCGTGCACCCTACTTTCAAGAGGCCTTATTCTCTACTCTGAAACAATTCCGCGAATCTCGTGGGCCACGGTCGCTTGCATCGGCCGTCCTTTTCGAATCCAACGAACGGCTCGAGACGGTTGTGGGAAATCTCGGGTGGTCGGATGACGCACTGGCGCGTCGCAGTTGCACACTTTCCCGTCGACTTCCGGTAAAGTGCCGGACTTTTCCAAAACACGGGGATTTTGCCCTTCACCACGTGGCTATCCGTAGACTCAGGTTGAAATCAATTGTGATTGGCGAATGCGAGACTGCACTTGCCACGTCGCTGTTGTCGATCCTCTTCGCAGGCGCAAGCGCCAATCACAGTCGGAGGATGCAGCATGCAGCCAATCAGAGGCAACTGCTCGTTTCGTAAGCAGTATACACAGCGCCTTCGCTATCCGTACGCTCCGAACTGATTGCAAATTTGTATCGACGCTCGTTGTGTTTCAAGCGCAGCGCGAGCAACCATTGGCAGAGAGCTCCATGGCTGGGTGAGGTGGCATGTCGCGAGACGATCTCTCTCTTCCTTGTCATTAGTCGTCAGTTTGCCTTTGTCCTCGAAGCCACCGCATCCCCTCCACCATGGCCACTGCCCAGATCCCTGCCATCAAGACCTCGACCCCGGTCCTCGCCGCCACGGAAGAGCGCAAGGTCTCCAAGACCATGAAGACCATCGGCGGTATGGCCGGTGGCTTCGTCGAGGCCTGCGCGCTGCAGCCTCTGGACACGGTCAAGACTCGCCTCCAGCTCTCGGGCACGAAGGACGGTGCCGTCAAGATCGCCCGTACCATCGTTGCCGAGGAAGGTGTCGCCGCGCTTTACAAGGGCCTCTCGCCCTTCGTCGCGCACTTGGTCATTAAGTACGCGCTCCGCTTCTCGACGAACGAGTTTTACCGTGGCCTCCTCGCCGATAAGGACGGCAAGGTCTCCAAGGTCGGTGGCTTCGTCGCCGGTGCTGGTGCCGGTATCACGGAAGCCGTCATGATTGTGACGCCGTTCGAAGTCGTCAAGACGCGCCTCCAACAGCAAAAGGGCTCGACGAACCTCAAGTACAAGGGCCCGATCCACGCGGCGCAGACGATCTTCAAGGAGGAGGGCGCCGCCGCGCTCTGGAAGGGCTGCGTGCCCACGATGACCCGCCAGGGCCTTAACCAGTGCTTCCTCTTCGGCTCGTACGACATGCTCAAGCACGCCATGTGGGGTCTCTCGCGCGACGACAAGATCTCGTCGCACCAGGCCCTCATCACGGGTATGGTCGCCGGTATGCTCGGCCCCGTCTTCAACACGCCGGTGGATGTCGCCAAGACGCGCCTCATGGCCCAGGCCAACAAGGTCGGCGAGGCGGCCCGCTACAGCGGCATGGTGCACTGCATCAAGACGGTGTACAAGGAGGAGGGCGCTGGTGCGCTCTACCGCGGCCTCGTCCCCCGCATGGCCCGCGTCGCGCCTGGCCAGGGTATCACGTTTGCTGTCATGGAGCTCGTCTGCCGCAACTTTGCCTAAGCGCGTTGCTAGTTTAAATGAAATAGAATGTATGGTTATGATGGTACACATGGCAGAGACCGCTCTCATGAAGCATCTTCCACAGTGGGACGAATATCCACGCTCACGTCGTCACAGCTGTCGTCACATGGCCACACGCAGCGCCTGTCATACAAGCCGCTGCACCCAGTGAGATCCAACGACGACCGCAGGCACGGGAGTCAGAGTGTGGTGACGAAGCCACGGGCTTCAAAAGCTGTAGGTGGATCCGGCACGAGCCATAAGATCTGAGAACCAAGAGTCCCTTCGGCAAGGCCCTGGCCAAGCGGCTCGATGGTTTGGCAACGTTTCCACGTGTGCTAGCTAGTAGCAGGTCAACTTTCCGGCCCGAGCCGCGGCGTCTCGGCCTTGAGCTGCAGTGGCACCGTAAGAAAGAGGATCCCAGCTTGACCTGCTAGACCCAAAGCCACTAGTACTGCTGCCGTGTCCAAGTTGGCGGCAACTGCTTCGATACGACGATGCATCTTTGGCTCGTTTGCTCAAACGCGGTGGCTGCAGCTAGCGCCGACGAGCGGTTCATCGCGTTGTGTTCTGGCGCAAGGATGGGAATACTGCCGACGCCCGTTCGCGCCTACGACCGGATTCTGGGTCGACTGCCTGAAGGAGGGCCAAACACAGCGACAGAATTCAAGACGATGCGGCTCGTTACGAAAAGAGATGGATCTACTACCCGCGCGGACGGTGAGGCTGCGTTAATACTTAAAGAACAAGCCCGTGTCAGGCCGTTCTTCGGGCTTCTGCTGGAAGCCCAGCTCGCCGACCGTGTCCATGATCTTGCGGTTCTCCTTCTCGAGTTCGATCTGGGCAAACGTCTTGGCGGTCTCGCCGGCATGGACTTCCGACAGCTAGCGTCGGAAGCGATGAGAGGATGCCAGTGGTACTTGAAGAGCAAGGTGTACCTGGACGTAGTCCAACGAGCACTGCTTGATGAACTCAATTTCATCCGACGTCAAGTCGCGAACGGGGCGCGCGGGGATGCCCGACCAGAGCTAGAAGATGGCGTCAGGGGCTCACCAGCAATGTCGACAGCAACACACCTGGCCAGCAGGGACCTTCTTGCCCATGGTGACGATGGACCCAGCCGTGATGATCGAGTTCTCGCCGACCTCGGCACCGTCGAGGACCTGTGCGCCCGTGCCGATGATGCACTGGTTGCTGATCTTGCAGGCGTGGATGACAGCCGAGGGGCCAATCGTGACGTTGTTGCCGATGACAGTCGGGAAGTCGTTGGCGATCTTGGCGGCATGGATGACGGCCTGGTCCTGGACGTTGGTGTTGTCGCCGATCGTGATGTGGTTCACATCACCGCGGACCGTCGCGCCATACCAGACGGACGAGCCCTTGCCGATGGAGACCTCGCCGACAACCGACGCGTTCGGGGCGACGAAGGCGCCTTCGGCGAGCACGGGTTTGTTGCCGGCGTTGGCCACAAGGCGCGTCGACGGAACCACTAGCCATAGCATGTGAGGTACCGATCGAGAGAGATCGACGCGGGCTTACAGCGCTCCGTGTAGGTGAGGCGGCCCTCGAGGGCCACGCCGACCTTGTCCAACGATTGCCCGAGCGAGCGGAGCGTCTTCCCCAAGGCTTGCATTTTGTCGCTATCTACGTCACACGTTTGTGCTGCCCCACAGAGCGCCCATATTTACCAGTCAATTCCTCGTCCGTATCCGGATATCGTGTCTCACAGGTTTCCAGTGGCCAATCACAGCGCTGGCAGCCCACTCGCATCCGCCAATCCGTCGTTGCCCTTGACGGCAACGCCCCGCCGGCCTTGGCGCTTGGGACGTCCAGAGGCCGATGTTCGCACGGCCAATAGACCGGTCGTTTGCAAGTTCTTGAAGCTTGTCGTTGTCATCGCTGTCTCCAGCTCGCTTGGCCGCTCAGAAATGATTCCTCTCGAGCAAGCCAACAGCGAGTACTAGTAGCGATTAGTTTAGGATTCTAGTCATCAAGTCGATGGGCTGCACTACTTCCCTGTAGTAGCGGCAGTGGCTATACAACCAACGTCCCCAGTCACTGTGCGAGTATTTGCAGTGCGAGAATGTGTGCATCAGCGCAGCTTCGCGCGCCAAGACCAATAAGCATCTTACTCTCTGGTAGGCCACAAATAAGCTTCATATTCTCAGCCAGGAGCACAACACCAAGGGCGTCGATGACAATGGCCGTTAGCTGCCAAGGGCAGTATCGTCTGTGGTGCAGGCGATCATGGACGGGTGCGCCCAATTGTTCGGCACGAATCTTTGGGCCTTAGATTTTCCGGATAAACCGCCGAATTGCGTCCAAGAGGATATTTACTTTTAGAGGTTGCAGAGTGCAATATCATGTCCTTGAGCATGTTCGCGAAGCGCGGCCTTGGCCGCCTCGCGCCGCCAGCAACCAAGTCCTTCCTGCCGCACCGCGCGCCAGCAATCCCAACGCGCTCCTTTACATCGCGCCGCAGCGTCTTGGACCGCATCGAGCCAGACCATGCGCTCTATGGCGTCCTCGGGCTCAACGGCGCCGTCTTCCTCATGTGGCAGACAGCGCAAACACGCGAGAAGAAGGCGTTTATGGTCGAGAACTTTACGACGTCGCTCATGCACCTCAAGGCCGGCCGTGTCCACACGCTCGTCACGTCGGTGTTTAGCCAAATGAGCACGAGCCACTTTCTCATGAACGGTGTTGGCCTCTACTTTTTCGGGCGTGAAGTGAGCCACATGATCGGCGCCAAGCGCTTCCTCGGCCTCTACGTCGGCAGCGCCGGTACGCATTGCTAGCATGGTCATCTCATTATGCTCACGGACCCTCCTCCGTAGTCGTTGCATCACTTTGCCAGATCGCCTATGACACGTACGAGCGCCGCCATTCGATCATGCTCGGGGCGAGCGGAGCGGTCAACGCGATCACGTCCTTTTACATTTGCGCGTTTCCGCACAGCACGATCTATATCATGGCGATCGTGCCGCTTCCCGCGTACGTGGCCGGCGGTCTCTTCATCCTCCGCGACCTCTGGGGCGCGTCGACCGCCGGCAACAGCGTCGGCAACGTCGCACACCTCGGTGGCGCGGCCTGCGGCTTTCTCTTCTTCCGCCGCTACGCCGCTTTGCGCCGGTACTTTTAGCTCTTCGTATGCGTGTCAACGCCAGCGCGGATGCTTTTTTTTCGGGTGTCTGTTCTTTTAATCGGCCACTTTGCTCTTCAATTCGTTTGGAACGAAAACGACTATTTCTATATTACTAGGTTTGGTGAAAACAAATTACGATCGCGCTAATGTTGTCGTGGCTCACATACTCTTGCGCTTTCAACACGAGCTCCTGCGCCGCGAGCTGCACGTCGCCGTGGTTGCGCAGCTTGCGCCGGATAAAGTTGACGGCCTGCTGCGACGTGATCACATCAAAGAGCCCGTCGCTCGCGAGCAAGAGGAACTCGTCTTCGGGCTCAATCATCTCGGTCGTTATGTCGGGCACCGCAATGAGATGGCCGTCGCTCTTGTGCGCCAGGTCGCCAAACGCGCGCGAGATGGCAAGGATCCCGTCGAGACGACCGTTGTGCACAAACCCACCGGCCTTTTCAATCTACAATCGAATTTTGAGGTTCAGATTCAGATACAAAATGACGTACGCGCTCCTTCTCGATCGCGTTGCTCGCCTTGTGGTCGACGGTAAGACTGAGGGCTTCCGGCCCGCGGCAGAGCACCGCGCGGCAGTCCCCAACGTGGCCTATGACCAGCTGCAGACCGTCCTCGACGTTGAGCAGCAGCGCCATGATGGCGGCCGAGCCCGAAAATGAAATCGGCGCCGGCCGCGCCGCGTTGCCGTCGCGAGTAAAGCCCGCAATCTTGGCATTGTCCTTGGCCAGCAGCTCTTCGTCCATGACACGACAGCCTAGTGATCTTCCTTCTCAGCACCGAATCCCACACACAACGTGGTGACATACCGTCGAGCATCGCATCTTCGGGCGAGCTCGTCGCGAGCCGGTCGAGAATCTTCATGTGCAGCTCCTTTTGCAAGACGAGCGCCGTCTCGTCGCCGTTGTGACCGTCGTAGACTGCGTAGTAGGCAATGGTTTCAGCGTCGTTGCCCGGCCGCGGGTAGTGCGTGAGCGCGAGGCTCTTGTCCTCCATGTACGGCCGCTCGCCCTTGGCTTCCGCGTACCCCGCACGGAGGCCGAGCGCGAGGTTTTCGCGAATCTTGCTGCTCACGTAGACCTGGATCACGTCGATCTCGTCTTCGGGGAAGAACGTCGTCGTCTCGCACTCGAGCGGTGCGACTTCAATGTCATCGTTGCGCTCGTCGCCCGACCGCGGCGTGTGCAGAAGGTCCTCAAACGTCTCGTTCACATCCACGTCGCACTCGACGTCCGAGTAGGCCGACGAGCCCTTCGACGACGAGCTCATGGCACGCATGTCGTCATCGTCGTCGCTGTCCTCGTCGCTGCTGCCTTCCGACATGACCGTCTCGGCGTTGAGGAGGTCGTTCATCGAGTGGTTCGACTTGTCTTGCGTCGATGACCGGCTCGACTTGCGCGAGCCCGACATGGTCCGCACCGTGTCCGAGTTCTTCCGCGAGTCCGACAGTTTGGAGCGCGAGTCCGAGAGCTTTCGGCTGGCCTCCGAGAGCTTGCGCGAGTCGATCGACCGACTGTCCGACATTTTGCGGTGGTCCGAGAGCGTCCGCGATTCCGAGAGGTTGCGACTGTCCGACATCGTGCGCGAGTCGACCATCGACGACTCGGACGACGAGTGCAGTGGCACGCGCGACGCGATCGAGAAGTCTTGGTTCGTGGCTTGGAAGAGCACCTTGCGCGACTGCAAGTCGCCTTCTTCGCCGCGAAACACTTCCGACGTCACCATGACAAAGTCCTTCTTCCGCGACAACTGGCGCTTCAAGAGGTCTTCGTCCGACGCCGTGCTCTCGAGGCCTTGGGTATTGCGCCGCGTCGGCGACGGAAGCAGGTGGTTCGTCGGCAAGATGATCTCGGTGATCTGCGCGCGCTCGACCGAAAACGCCATGCGCTTCTGCTCCAAGAGCAAATCGCGCACGCGTTCCGAGAGGTTGTGCCCGTCCATGAGCGCGACGCGCTTGTGGTGGCGCCACGCAGAGATGACGCGCGCCGCCTCGAGCGTCGAGCCCATCGACTCGTTCGAGTTCTTGGACCGGAGCGGACTGCGTTTCGAGCGCGCGCTCGAAAAGCTCTTTTGGCGCGACGGCGACCCATTGTCGTTGGACGACTTGGACGACGTGAGCGAGTGCATCGAGGACGCGTTCGGCGTGCGTCGTCCGAGCAGCGTCTTGTTGGTCAGCATCAAGTGGGCTTCGGCCAGCGACGCTTGGAGGCGCTGGTCGATGCGCTCGGGAATGTTTTGAATCGCGCCGTCCGTCTCGTCAAACGTCACCTTGTTGATGCCGTCTTCGAAAATGTTGTTGATGATCGGCTCACTTCCCTCCCGCGTGATCCACTCGTGGTTCATCACGTCAGCGAGCGTAATGCGGCGGTCCGGGTCCTTGGTCAGCATGCGCTGGAGGAGGTTCTTCAGGTGCGGCTCGACAAAGCCTTCCGGAAAGCTAAGCTCGTCGCGCTGCACCTTCTCCGCGAGTTCAATCTCATTGTCAGCAAGCCACGGCGGGTGGCCAAACATCTAGCGCACAACTCAACACGACAGCCACGTGGCAGATCGTACCATCATGTAGAGCGTGGCACCGAGCGACCAAATGTCGGCCGACGGCCCCGTGTACTCGGCGTTGATGTTGAACATCTCGGGCGCCATAAACGCTAGCACATAAGAAACAATAAGACTACGGTGAGGTCATAGCCAGGGTACCTGGCGTGCCCTTGGCCCCCGAAATCGTCTCGGCTTCGTTCATGACCATGCGCGCGGCGCCAAAGTCGGCTATCTTGGCAATGTCGTCGGCCGTCACGAGGATGTTTTCGGGCTTGATGTCGCGGTGTACAATCTTGTGAAAGTGCAAATACTGCAGCCCGCACACAAGGTCGCGCATGTACTTGCGCACAACGTACTCGGGGAGGCGGTCGCCGTGCGCAATCTCCGTCAAGTTGCCCTTCTCAATGTACTCTTGGACCAAGTAGACCTTTTGGGACGACGGGTCGTCAATCACTTCGACGAGGCGCACCACGTTGCGGTGGCTCAGCTTCTTCATGATCGCGACTTCGCGGCGCAGCGCGTCCTGGAGCGAGTCTTCGCGGTTGGCCATGCGCTGCACAAACGTCTTGTGCATGATCTTGACCGCATAGAGCTTGCCGTCCTCTTCGTTCATGCACTTTTTCACCGTGCCAAACGTGCCCTTCCCGAGCTCGCCCTTGATCACGTACTTGTTGACAACCTTCTCGCCATTCGCGAGCCGGTGCTTCGTGAGCTTGCTCGTCTCGAGCGCGACGCCGTTGAGACCTTCGAGCGTCATCTGCGACCTAAAGCCAGCTTCATGAGTCGTCGTCGCAGGCGTACGCGTAGTATAAGTACATGTCGGTCGCGGACGACGGCTTGTTGGCCTCCTGGAGTCGGTTCTTATTGCGCATCGCACGGCGCGTGGCTTTCTCAATGTACGCGCGCTGGATGACCTTTTGAAAGCGCTCCGAGAGCAGGCACTCGTCAAAGTCTTCTTTCGTGAGGTAGAGGCACTTGACCGGCCCGATCGCGACGACCGACGCGGTGCGCGGCTCCTTGTAGATGAGCGACATCTCGCCAAACACGTGGCCCTCGTACAAGCGCGTGAGCTCGCGCTCTTGGCCGTCGGCTTCGTGCGTCTCGAGCACGGCCGCCTCGCCGCGCGTAATCATGTAGAACCGCGTGCCTTCCTCGCCCTGGCGCACAATGTAGTCGCCGTTCGAAAAGTTGGCCGGCTTGAGCTTCTTCAAGATCGCGTCTTGGTCGCGCGACGTGAGCTGCGCGAGAAGCGGCACTTGCTGCAGCATCAGACTCAAGTGGACTTGGCCGACTTGCTGAAAGTCCTTTTGCGTCAGGTACAAGAGCTCGACGTCGCCGACCGCGCGGACGGTCGCCGTGCGCGGGTCGTCGTAAATGAGCGCGAGCTCGCCAAAGTAGTGGCCAGCGTACAGATGCGTGATCATGCGCTCCTTCCCGTCCATGTTCTTGGTGATGACGGCCTCGCCCTTGGCAATCATGAAGAAGCGCTCGCCGCGCTCGCCTTGCTTGACAATGGCCTGGCCGTCCTTGAACTTGATCGGCTTGAGCGCCTGCAGCACCTGCTCTTGCTGGTTCTGACTCAAGTTGGCAAAGAGCTGCACTTGGATCATAATGTCGTAAAGCGGCTTGTTGGCGAGCAGGTACGGCGTCAGCGTCACTTCGGGCTCCTACGTTCGGTATCGTGAGCCCATCGTGTTGTGGACAAGAAGGACGAGTTGAAGTAGTACCGTGTGCTCCGTGTCATGCTCCGAGTTCAAGTCGTCGTCGTCGACCATCTCGATCTCAATGTCGTCGTCCTCCATGAGCCAGTCGCCGACCTCGTTCGAGGCCGGGCTCCCGACCGACTCTTCGTCCGTCGACGTGTCCACAGGCATGCTGGAAGACCGGTTGACGCGATCGAACGATTGCATATGTGGTCGGACATACGTGCCGCCACTGGACCGTGGCGCCGGCGTTGCCAACGGCGTCGAGTTTGTTGAGGTTGCCGGTGAATGCCGGGGCGCCGGTGTCGCCAGCGGCGTCGAAAAGTCAGACGACATCCGCGGCGGCGTGGTCGGCGTGCCCGATGCGGACGGCGGCGGTGGCGTCATCGCCCGTGGAAGGAAGGCCGGCGCCGAGACTGGGGCGCGGATCGGGTCCGAGAGCGCATGCGCCGGCCGACCATCTTCCTGGCTCTTCCGCTTGTGCATGCGGCCAGCGAGACCTTGGTACATGGACGCATGCGACTCCTTCTGCTGCGCCTTGCTGCCCTTCTGCCCCATGCCAATGCGCAAGTCTGGCCGCGGACCGCGGACAATTCGAGTTCTGAGACATTAACGGCGAGAAAATAGCGCCGGATAAACTGGTCCCAGTGGTATCCGGATCAGATTCACAGGCCGCGCGACGATGGGCCTTGACGAGGATGGGACGGTGTCGACGTCGTGAGCACCAGTCGCTCGCTGCTGGCGACCTGGCGACTCGACCTGGCGACTCGCATCACCGACCCCCAAGAATCACATGGGTCCAGGAGCGCCATAGCTCCACGTCACTGGAGGCGCTATGTGGCGGCGGAGTGGGACGCGGCCGTGGGACCGCCAGCTGCGTGTGCACCATGTTTATACAAGCAGAAGTTGAAGAACGCCGACGGACGGCCACGCCATCGCAGGCGTCAGCGTCGTTGCTGGGCTGAAGGTAGTTGCAGCGACAGCCTCGGACCAAGTGGGTGCGAGGCCCACTCGACCGCGCCCATGCAACACCGCCTTGTCTAGGCAGGCAGAGGCAGGCAGCCACCGCGCTCTCGTGCACGCTGCATACCGTACAAGGATCGTGCATGGGTGCTCGTCTGCATGAACGTGCACGGCCAAGCTGCGCGGCTGCATGGAGCGACGAAGCTCGGGATCGGCAAGGACTTGGTTGTGTTGGGTGCAGTATTACTACGCCAAGGAGCTACTACAGACTAAGAGCGCGCCTCTCTTACTACTTTACACTGTGCGGGAGGTACTCGGACATGCGCGCGCTCACGGCCGCCGACAAGGTGGCCATAAAATCCACGTCTTCGGGCGTCACGACCTTGCGCGGCTTGGTGTCCAAGACTGCGATCGTGCCAAACACAATGTGCGTCTCGACAGTCCACACGATCGGCGCGCCGGCGTAGAAGCGGAACTTGCCCTTCCCGCCTTGCACGAGCGGACTCTCCTTGAAGCGCGCATCGAGCGTCGCGTCCTTGACGACCAGCGGGCTCCCGCCGCAGATCGTGTACGAGCAAAACGACATTTCGCGCGGCAGCTTGGTGTGGAACGACCCGACGCGCGAGATGACCCACTGGTCTTCTTCGCAAATGATCGAGATGTACGCGACCGACGCGCGAAAGTGCGCTTGGACGGCGTTGCACAGCCCGAGCCACTCGCGCGCCTCCATCATCGTCTGCAGCGGGAGCTGCCGCACGATGAGCAGCCGCGCGTCTTCGTCATGCGGGTACGGCGGCTCGGGCCACGCATGCGGCCAGACGTCGTCGCTCATGACCGTGATGTTGGTCGGCGCGCGTTCTTCGACGTTGAGCGTGCTGCACAAGACGCAGACGCGGACGTTCTGCTGCTTCTCGAGCCCCACAAACGTCGAGCAGCTGTCGCAAATCACTTCGCCGCACACACGGCAGTGGTGCCGCCGGCGAAAGAGCGTGAAGCGCTTGTTGCACTGGTAGCACGCAAAGCTGTCTTGGTCCTGCTTCCACTTGGCCGTCTCGAGGACCGAGAGCTTCCGGAGCGCAAACGTCGTGCGCCGCATCGTCGTGCGACGACTGCCCGACGACGACGTGGTGTGGCGACCGTCGGGCGGCGACACTGGGTGCGGCGGCGGGTGCACACGCGGCGAGAGCTCGGCGATCGGTGCCGGGCCTTTTCGAATCGGCTGCAGCTGCTTGACCGTCGACCGGTAGATGCCCGAGGACCGGGCTGTCTGGTGCAGCGGCGCGGCCACATACGTCATGCGCACAACGTCTTCGTCGTCATCGGACGAGGAGATGGGCGAGAGCGCACTGTACGACTCGCGTGGCACGTTGGCCAGCCACGCGTCTTCGTCATCGTCGTCGTCGTCGTCGCTGCCTTCGAGTTCAAGTCGCAGAGGCGTGCGTCGGTGCTGCTGTTGTTGCTGCAGCTGCTTGGCGCGGACGCGGCGCTGGAGATAAATAACGGACCGCTTGAGACGGTCAAAGTGCGTCTTGGCGAGGACCTTGCGTCCCAACGCTTGGAGGATCGTGGCAGCGCGGTGGCGCGCGCGGCGACGTCGAAATCGATTCTGGAGCACGAGGACGGCGTGGCGAAACCGAAGGTACCGTCGTCGGTGGAGGTACCCGAGTAGGCGCTGCGCAATGTACAGGTGGTGCGCGGCGACGTATTTGACGCGGAGGCGCTCGAGCCGCTCAAAACTAGCAGCGCGCAAAAACACTTTGGTGACGCCGATTTGGAGACCACGTGCGTAGGAGAGCGCCGTCAAGTCGAGCCCCGCCGGCGGCGATGCCAGCGGGAGGTGCGGGAGGCAGTGGTCGATCACCGCGTAGAGCGACGAGAGGTTGGCGTGGCGGGCGCTGGCGCGGGCGACAACCGTGTACCGCCCGATGAACTCGGCGTGGAGCATGCGGATGGGAAAGCCGGCGCGCGCGACTTGAACGGCTTGGAGGACACCATTGCAGCGCAGCTGTTCAGCGACACGGTCCTTGGTCATGACATGGGCCGCCGCCTCGTCGTTGGGCTTGATGCACCGCACGTAGTGGGGCGCCGTGAGCTTGAGCATCTCCATCAAATGCAGCAGCTGCGTCTTGAATTGCCCGCCGACGCTCGCCGTGTTGAGTCGCTTGGACTCTTGCCGGCGCAATGTGGCGTGGCTGCTGCGGCGGTGCGTGAGCCCGGCTTCGCACAAGAGGCGCGCAAACGACGACTCGGCCGTCGCAGTCTGGAAGAGGTCGACGATGTCCTGGCGCAGCTCGTCCTTGTTCTTCTCGCGGATGCCAACGGTCGTGTACTCGACGAGGCCGGCGTAGTGGTCGATCGAGAAGAGCCCGCGGCCTTGCTGCACGCGGGAGGCGCTGAATCGAACGTGGCTGCCGCAGCGGGCGTAGAGCTTGGACGCGAGCGACGCGTCCGTGCCTTTGGCCAGCATGCTCTCTTCGTCCATGAGCGAGAAGAGGCCAAAGGGCTTGGCAGAGAAGAGGTCGACGCACTCCTTGTTGTCGGTGAACGCGACATAGTCCCACGCGAGCCCCTCCTTCTTGTACTCGACTTGCTCGTTGGCGAAGTTGTGCAAGTTGAACTGCTGCTGCAGCGTTTCGTTGGCAAAGTTGATGCAGAGCTGCTCAAACGAGTTGAGCGGGAACACCTCAAAGCCAAAGATATCGAGGATGCCGATCCAGCTCGACGCCGCGTGGCTCGTACTCGTCCCAAACGACGACGCATTGTCTAGATCAGAAGTCAGACATCAGATCTGAGCGAGAGGCAAGAGGTCGTACCGGACGCCCGGTCGTCGTGCCGCAGAAAGGCGTTCATGCGCCCGACGAGCCACTCAAAGAGCCGCCCGTACAGCGCTTTCGTGAGCCCGTCGCGGGTGTTCTTGGCCTCGTCGACGCTGAGCCGAAGCACTTTGGTCTCGGCCGCGACGCGGAACGTTCGCGTCACCAGTGCCTTCTCGAGCGCGCCAGCGTCGCGCAGCGAGAGCAAGGTCGCTGCGGCCGCGAGCGCGGCCTGGCTCGAGGGGGCGACGTGGCAGTGGTCCTTGGGCGCGACTTGAAATGTGAGGTTGCCGAGATGCAAAACCGCGGCAAGAAGGGCCTGCATGCCCAACTGCTCGTGGGCCGAGAAGCCAATCATCTGAAGGGCACGGAGCATCTGGTTGTAGTTGTGGGCATCGTTGGCGTGGTCTTTCCGGTCGTAGCAGTCGGTCTGGTTGAGGTATCGAAAGTTGGCCATGAGCTGCCGCCGCGCGTCGACGCTGAGGCGCATCTCGGGCGACGCAATGAGGCGCCACGACGCGAGCTGCACCTCGGAGCTGCCCATGAGCATCTCGTAAAAGATGTGGTAGTTGCGCTCGCCCTTGGACTGCGTCACGAGACGGACTTTCTCCAAAAGGTACGTCTGAATTGAGGCGCTTGTCAAGAGGCCGTGGTCAAAGTTCATCTGAATGAGCTTCCCGAACCGACTCGAGTTGTCGTTGCGCAGTGTGCGAGCATTCCCAAACGACTCGAGCACAATGTTGGCGTCCAGCACCTTGTCGCTGATCGTCGACGTGTTGACGGGCATCGACATGCGCACGGGCGCTGGCACATCGCCAACGTGTGCGAGGTACTCCATGAGAAGCTTCGTGGACTCGGTCTTGCCGCTCCCACTCTCACCGCTGATCAAGATGGACTGGTCGCTCGGCGCGTCCGAGAGCTTGCCGCGCATCATGGCCTGGTACGCCGTAGCGGCAACGCGGTAGATGTGCGGCGCTGGTGCTGCTCGTCCATCGTCAGTGCGATTGTCGTCGGGCGCGTAGTAGCTCGCGTATGTCTCCATGCGCTCCGAGCCATAAAGCCCTGGCAGTCGTTCGAACGGGTTCACGGCGAGGAGAATGTGGCCCGTGTTGGTGTAGATGCGCTGGGCGTAGAAGCGGGCCTCGAGCGCGCCGAAGATCGTGTCCTCGTTGAGCTCCATGAGCTCCGTGAGGTCGTCGACGGCCGGTCGTTCCATGCTGCTGCCTCCGACGCGGCCACTTAGACGACAAAGTGACTTCAATCACTGGCCTGTTACACGGCCAATTACCGACGCGTATTTAAATATCCCGGAAACCGCCTTCCCGCATCGTATTTTTATTCGGTTTTTCGGCGCAACCCGCCGGATTTTCCCATCTCGGCACCGAACATGCTCCTAACGTTACTCACACTGCACTTGGTTCTACTATGACCACGAGAGAGTCCAGCCGCCGCAGAACGCTGGCAAAGAACAAGACGTTCGCCACACCGCTTCCACCAGCCCACATGGGCAAGGACCTCCTCTTCATGTCCTCATGCAGCCAGCTCATGCAACGTGCAGCTGCATCCTGCCGCATGAAGCACTGCATGGGGCACTGCATGGGGCGCGCGGATACTACTACGGGACAGGCCGGTCGATACTACGTCTATTGCGTCGCGACCTTACGCTTCTTCTGGAGCAACTCGGCCTGCTTGGGAATGGCCCGGAGTTCGCGCACGGTCGCGAGGAAGTCGAAGATGGCGAGACGCAGCGTGCGCTCCGTGCAGTCGCCGAGGAGCTCGACGCGCAGGCTCTCCGTACTGGCCACGTGCTCGCACTTGCTAGTACAGAACGCAGGAATGAGTGCAAGCGATATACAATCGTGTCGCACATGATCTGCAAGAGGACTGCGATGGCCTCAAGCTCGTCCTTGTGGAACGAGACGCCGTAGATCAAGCTGGACGCGAGGAAGATGGCGAACGCGGCGAGCGAGTCCAGCGGCGGGTGCGCGTCATTGGGCCACCACGGGTGGGTCGGCAGCGTCGACGGCGCGAGCAGTGCCATCGAGGGCGTCGATGGCATCTCATGCCGTTCGCGCCGGTACTTTTGGATCAAGACAAAGAGGAACATGGGGAATGGCGCCTTAGCTTTGGACTCGAACTCTACATGCCACCGCTAGGTCAATCGACGGCGCGACGAGGATACCTGAGTCTGTCTCGGTGCTGGCGTCGTCGATTACGTCTTGCAGCGTGCTCTGGGACGCCTGGATCGTCTCGACGAGTGATTGCAGCCGGAGAAAGGTTGCAACGTAGGCATTGGCGCGCTCGTGGAAGGCGGCGGCGGCCTCGATGACCGCCTTGTCGTTGTCAGCATGGTTCTCTACAGACAGCGGCGGCCGTATCGCTGGCCGCTCGAGAGGAATCTTGACGCGATTCACACCCACTGGCAACGCTTTGAAGAGGACGTTGAGGCCATCGTAGCTCAGCTGCAGCTCGCTCGTGATGGCGCGGATGCGGCAAATGTCCTGACTCTTGAAGCGCATGCCCCGGCGCGCCCGACAGACCGCGAGCACCTACATGACCGTGTGTCCAATGCGGTCGCGTGTATCATTGAACGCTGCTTACGTCGTTGAGCGTATGCAGGTTGAGGCGCTCCGTGGACCCGGCGAGGTTGTACGTCGTACGCTCGTCCAGCGTCGGCTTGTGGTACCGCAGTGTGTCAATGAAGCGCATCTTGGTCGTCGGCGGCTTGAACGCCAGCGCGTCCGTGCCAACGTTCTAGCCGCACACGTTGTTGGAAGATCGCCACATGTCGTTGTACCTCAAAGAGCACGAGCGGCTTGGACTTGCGGAGCAGCGCGGCGCCGAGCAGGACGTTGGGTTGGCCATTGGGCGGACTCGGCGGCGCCGGCGGATGGAGCTTCAGAAGCGGGCTCGGCGGCAGGCAGATGTCGAACTCACTCATGATGATCCGCGACTGGTGACTTCACCGTCGCCGCGCGTCCTCTTAAGTACGCTTCTCACGGCCCGTTTCTCTTGGGCACCTGCGGCTAGTCACACCCAACTTGCACTTTCGCCGCCTGTCGTGACAACGCGCAGCAGTTGCGAGGCCACACCACCGCAATACGAGGCGACAACGTGGTCGAGCTACTCGTCGCCGCAAGTACGCATTGCGCTCGAACGGTCGTGGCAGCGCCAGCTGCATGGAGCTGGCGACTGCCGTCAGTGCCCATGCCACTCTCGGTGTGGGATACGCTGCATAGACGCTCCAACCGCCACCACGCACACTGCGGGTACTAATATCCTGTCACTTGGTACCGCTTCCAAGCAACCTTTGCAGCCCTTTCACGAGCAGCGCACAGTGCGGCCGATGTGCTCAATACCCCGCAGATCTACGTATATCTCTCAAGTCGACTCGATGCACGCAGGATGCTTCGTGAAGGATCGACGAGGCCTTGCTTGTTGTGCAGCAGACCGAGTCGTAGTCGGTGCGCCCTAACATCGCGACATGGCGGTCGATTCATCGGGAGCAGGAGCTGCGAGCAGGTAGAGCTTGTAGCAGAGATCGGTCGGCCAAGAAGGCGCTGGCGTCCCAATCTGGACGCAGTGTATCCGCCTGGCCGACCCCACTTGCACTCGTACACTGTTTGACTGACAGCACTCCTTGCGCATGGCAGACCGACCGACGATGAGCGGCTTGCGACACCAAGTGGTATGGTTTGCGTGGGAGAGACATGCCAGTGAGAGTATCTTTGGCTCAGCGCACGGACAAGAACGACAAAAGTTGGTTCTGGTGCAACTGAATGAGCGCGTCCAAAGTCAAGACCTTGGCCCTGGTAGAGATGGTGGGAGGTTACGTGGTTGGCGTTCTGCGGCTACGGAGGCCAACACCATACAGCAGTACTTTTCACCCTTATATTATTTACTCTATTGACGCGACGACGTCATGGCATCGACGACACTTAGGTAGCACTACTCGGGTTGTTGGTCGGCTCCAAGAAGCGCGGTTTGTGCTCGGTCCACCAAAGCTGTGCCTCGGCTTCGGTCATTTTTTCCTTGTCAAAGATGACGGCCACGACCTGCTCTTCGTGGTTGTCCTCGCGGCGCCCCATCTGCAGCGCAATACCCTCACGCCGCGCGCCCTTGTCCGTCTTGCGGTACATCGAGTTGAGCTCAAAGAGCGACGCGTCCTGGAGCACGAGCCGCGCCTTGTTTTCGCCGCCCGAAAAATCGATTTTGAAGTCGAGCAGCGACGTCTTGGACGCAGACAGAACGAGCGGCAGCCGATTTTCGTCGTCATCTGCATTCGTCATTTCCCGAGGGTCCTCGGCCGGCTCGTCGTCGTCGTCGTCGCCGTCGTTGTCATCGCAGGCATCGTCGGCCGGCGCCGTCGCCGCCTCGAGCTTCATAGCCTTGGAGGCCTTGAGCTCCGACTTCATGTTGTTGAGCAAGTCGGACGTGACTTCAAGTTTTGCGTCGATCGGGCGCGTCGTGCTCGCAATCGACTTCTTTCGACGCACAGACTTGGCCTTTGGGATCGACGGCGCCGAAGACTTGGGCTTCTCGATGCTGCGGGAGCCAGGTCGTGTCTCGGCCGCCGTGCGCTGCAAGATCTTGTCGTTGAACGAGCTCTGTTTGGTCACGGACGGCGGTTTTGTGACTTCCGGTGGACGTTCGGTGTACGTCTGTCGCCGCATGAGGTTGGGCTTGAACGTGAGCTCCTTCTCTTTCTCTTCACGCTGCCGGCGCTCTTCGGCTTCGACTTTTTCTTGCTTCTTCTTGAGCCACTCGGCCTGCCGTTCCATCATCGACATGGTCGAAAATGTCTTTTCCTTTTGCATCGACGACGGCGGCGGCTGCGACGACGACCGCTGCGAGAGCGGAAGCTCTGATTCGAGCGCGAGCGGACTGGCAATCGTGCCGTCGATTTCGAGGGGCGGCACGGCGTCGGTCAAGACGACGAGGTCCTTGCCGGCCCGAATCTTGCCTCGGCTCGGGCTCGGCTCGGGCGCGTCGGCTTCAAAGTTGCGCACACAAGGCACTTCGACGAGCTCGCCGACTAGTTCAATACTTGGCGATGCATCCATGCAAATAGCGTGGGTAGTGTACCAATGTGACGCCAGCAGCGGGCCTGGGCCGACGGATACAGATCGCCGCGCTGTAGCTGCCGCAGGATCGTCTAGGATAATAACACATGACACGAGATAGAAGAAAGCGCCTCGTACGTCTTCCATGCCATCGTCTAAGAGGTTGCCCGCCGCTGCGTTCTCATGCAGCCACTCGTGGACGACCGTGGTGCGCTTCTGCCACGCGGTCGTGTTGGGCAGATGGATGTCCTGGAGCAGAAGCACCTGTAGACGCGGTGAGTCGTACTGGTAGAGACGAGGTGTCGTACGAGCTGCTGCGTCAGCGCGCTCTCCGTCATGCTGCTACCACCCTCGAAGGAGAAAGTGCTTTCGGTTGAGTCGTGAAACGGCGCCTATTTATATCGACGCAAATCGGCGTTGCTCGTCAGCGGTTCTGCCACGTCATGTCGTCGTCGGAGGCGCCCGCACCAAACATACCAGTTCGAAGTATCAAGCACCATGACATAGCGCTGGCGCCATCCAAGACGCATTTCGTTGACACGATAAGATCGTAGCTGCGAGGTCTGTGCCCTTTCAAGCTTCGCGGGATCTCCGGATGTTGTATCCGGCATCCAGATCTTCGACAAACTCAGGATGCATTTTCCAACACCAAGCAGGATGGACACGACTGACGCGCCGCAGGTCATCGAGCACGTCAACAAAGGACTCAATTACACGCCGTACGATGCGCGCTGGATCCCGTGCTCGGCGCGCTTTGTGAGCATGGGCATCCACCCGCGCGCGACCGGCGCCATCACGATCTATGGCCTCCACCAAGGCGAGCTCAAGACCATCGCCGAGATAGAAAAGCCGCATGGCATCAAGTGCGGTACGTTTGGCGCGTCGTCGCTGGAAGAGCGCCACTTGGCGTGCGGCGACTTTGCCGGCGTCATGAGCGTCCTCGACTTGGAGCGCCCGAGCGAGCCCGTCTACTCGGCTCAAGCGCACAAGTCGATCATCAACTGCATCGAGGGCTGCGGCGGCTTGAACATCGGCTACGGTGCGCCCGAGATTGTCACGGGAGGTCGTGATGGTACAGAGACGATGTCTATTCTTAGTGATGTACGAGTCGCATAGGTTGCGTGCGCGTCTGGGACATCCGGGTCGCCAACCCCGTCGTGTCGCTCGAGCCCGACGAAGGCGAGGCGGTCCGCGACTGTTGGACGGTCGCCTTTGGTACTGCTTTCTCTGATGTATAAGATATAGACCAAATGGCTAGGCAACTCGTACAATGATGACGAGCGGTGCATCGTCGCGGGCTATGACAATGGCGACGTCAAGATGTTCGACTTGCGCACGAATTCGATGCGGTGGGAGACCAACGTCCAGAACGGCGTCGTCGGCGTCCAGTTTGACCGCAAGGACATTGAAATGAACAAGCTTCTCGTGACGACGCTCGAATCCAAGTTCCGTATCTACGACCTCCGCACCTTCCACCCGACCAAGGGCTTTTCCTACATGAGCGAAAAGGTACGTTTGCTCTGACGCGCCCTACGTCACAGTATATTGCAGGCGCACAAGTCGACCGTGTGGCAAGGTCGATTTCTGCCGCAGAACCGAGACCTCTTTATGACCGGCGGCGGCAACGGCGGCTTCAATCTTTACAAATAGTACGCTGGGTGGACGCCTTTCGGTACTCATTTGATCGACGTAGCCACTACCCGTCGTCGCGGACAACAACAGATCCGGATGGGATCCTCATGGGCGTCGGCGGCACGGTCGAGCTCCTCAATTCGCGCGTGCTGTCGACACAGCCGATCGTGAGCATGGACTGGAGGTACGCTCTCTTCGTTGGTTGCGCTGACAACGGCGTCTAGTCCGGACCGCGAAGGCCTCTGTGTGCTCACGTGCCTCGACCAGACCGTGCGCGTCTACATTGTGTCCAAGACAAACAAGTACTAGCATAAGTATCGGCGCGCTACGTTAGCCGAACTACATGTACATTCTTCTTACACGAGTTTTGCA